TTCGATATGGGACTCGATATAGCGACGTACATGAAGCTCAAACATCCAAGAGTTATTTATTTGGACGACTCAAATTAGACGTCTGATTATATTATTTTCACACGTACACTGACACGTGTCGCTAGGTCGCAGAACTGTCTTGGAGCAGATTAATGGGCAATTGGGTTCCCCGACCTAAATTGCTATCCCGGTTTGTTGCACGTTCTTTCTTTAATATGAAATAATCAAATATGGGACATTATCACTGAAAACTTTTTTTCCCTGAAATAAATTCTAGTGAAAATGCCATTTCCCTCACACTCTATTGAGACACAGCACAGTGAAATTGGATTCACATGTAATGCTTGAAAACATGTCGGCAAAAATAAATTAAGTGAAATTCTATGTGACTTCATAAGAGTTGGAAATGAACAAATTACACCCAATTCTACCACTCCATACACAATGTAAACTACACCCCAAAACATCCTTTCACCCACGGTTACAACCGCGTTTCACCAGTGTATTCTATTTGACTTCAGGAGAAATTGAAAAAACAAATTAATTATAATTTCAGCCTCTAGTTGAGCACTGATTAAATAAACTACCTCGTCTTTATGTCAACTTCGAGTTATTCATTGCCTACATCAGTGACTTCAAAATATATGTTTCAATCCCAGGAATTTCACTCGCTGTTAATTGCATGGGAGTGCCAGTCTTTCATGAATTTCTATTGTCATGTCAATTTCTTGCGATTACTCGGAACATGAAGCTGTAACCACATACCGCCTAGGTGCTGTAACTAAATCCTGGTATAAGCACCGGTTAGGCTGTCTTGAACTATGCATGTGAAGCCAGTTGAGAGGTATATCCAATCCTATCGATCTTTCACTGTTTGGTAACTATTTGCTGCAAATGCAACAAAAAGCAATATAAAAATATTATCCACACAGCATTCTACAGGTTACTTGTGTATTATAGTATTCATTACATGCTTTAACTATGTCTTGTGCATCTTAGCTTGTCATTACTTTATTATATATCTTGGATCATAGGTCACAGACTAGATTAGCTTGAATAAGCTATTTCTGTGACCCCACCAGAAACAAAAATATATACTATATTACTATCATTGTAATTACTACTATTATTAATTTTATTTATTTATTTATTTATTTATTTATTTATTTATTTATTTATTTATTTATTTATTTATAATTTACTACTCAATGTATACACTGTTTCTGGTGAAATAAAATTTCATTCATTTAGATAATGTGTTCTATGCTAAATTTTACATATTCACTGGGTTTTAATTTTAGCGCATTTTCCAGTCAGCGAAATAAGCAAAATTAAAACCCAGTGAATAATTAACCCCTTTACATATCTT